TGGTTACAATGATTTTTATGTCATGTTGCATAACAATATAAGTATAACCTAATATTGTTGTTAAAAGGCTATGTGCTGAAAGTATAAAATGAAATGTATAAACTACAAAATTGAAAATATTATTTGTTGTTTTCTAATTTAGAGGCTCCATTAATTAAAGAGGTTTGTTTTTTATTATTTATATTTAAAATCAGAGAACAAGTCAGAGAGTAGGTTACCTTTATAAACAGGTCACATCCCATAAAGGAGCAACAAAACTATGTAGGTTATACTTTTATGGTAAAATGGGTTCAGAATAAACACATTGACATTGTCATCTAGAATAAATCAACCTTATAACCTGAGCAAAGACGGGTACTTTTGCTAGTATTCAATAAATACAGGACTTTATTTAGAAATTGAATATAATCAAAATTTTTTGGTATTGGTCTTTTACAACATGTCTAACAGAATCTGTGAAACCACCAAAGATTCTTTTAAGAATAAACTTTAAAGTTACAGTATCATAAATTTTTATATGAGCAAGGCATACATAATCACAATTTTTCATATTGTCAATTACCGTGTTGTAAATAACATTTTTAGTTAATCATAGATTTCTAACAAACTTACAAGATGGTTTGATAAGATATAGTGCTGGATAATTAATAAGTAACAAGTTTCTCTTTTATTGTCTTTTTTCTGCAAGTTGAGATATTTTAAAGTAAGCTAATTATATAATCTGTACTGGAATGTAACTGAGTAAAGCCTAATGTTGTGGTAGGTTTCATAAGATATAGTGCTGGATAATTAATAAGTAACAAGTTTCTCTTTCATTGTCTTCTTTCTGCAAGTTGAGATATTTTATGAAACATTAGGCTTAAAAGATGTATATCTAATGCTTAGATTACCATTTATTTCAACAACTGTTGATATTGACATGGTCCAACAGGGCCTTAAACCATAAATTACAAAACATACTTACCTCTGCTGCCACTTATAGCTATCACTCAACTGACTAGGGTTTTTACTTTGCCCATTTAAGGAAAACAGTCTGATTTTTTCTCACTTGCTCCAGTCTTTTATACAACACTTAACTGCTCTTGGTGATAATTGTCTTGTGATACTCTCCACCTACATTAATGTGCCCTCTATTCTGGTTCTGTATATAAGCACCTCATACAGATAATGTTATCACTTTTTCTTGACAAAGCATTTAGAGACACGTTTCTCTGTAGAATTGTTGTAATAGTTAACGTCCTTAGTTATGATTTCTGCATTGCCTAGTTGCTTTCTGTATGATTTATATTTAATAATTATTATTAAAAAAAAATTGTGACATGCTGTTTTCAGGCATGAATTCACATTTGTCTGAACAGCATACTTTAGCATACCACCGCCAGGAGGATGTATATTTAGATTTCCAAGGACTTGATCTTCCTTTGAATATATGGGATTTCAGACTGGACCCTGTGATCACTTTGAACAGATCACAATTTTTGCAGATTCATTTGACCCTCACTGCTGTTCTGAGATATTCATCCTCCCTCCACATTTTATCGGAAGTCTATCAGCATTCCCCACATCAATTTTGCTCTATCTTTGGTCTTTTGGCTTGTATGTTGTTGGGATTTATTGGGCAGAGATACCTTGTTGGAGGGAGTTTGTCTACCTGCTGTAGCCTTCTATGCATTACATGAGGCTCCTTTTCTTCATCCCAGATGCATTGGAAACACAAATAGATGTTGCCCATTTGTAATCTTCCTTGTTGTTGTTAGCCTCCAGGCTTTCTTTGGCTCCTGCTAGAAGTAATGGTGTGACTGCTCGTTGTGTGTTCTGAACCCTGGCTTCTGCTTCTCGATCTATTGGTATTCAGAATAGATTCTGTCCTTATCTTGAGGCTCATCTGCTCGGGCAGACAATCGCCAACAGCATCAATGACTACCCTATATGGGTGGGGTGTGTGGTAGCAAGGTTAAGATAGTTTTTTGACACCTGGAATTCCTTCACCACAGATCCATGGATATTTCAGGTTCTGGCATCTAGGTTGGTCATTCAGTTCACTTCACCTTCATTATCCTCCCAGTCAGTGGTATTTCCACCCCCAACAGATCCAAGGAGTGTGGATCTTCGTTCCAAGGCTATCAGAGAGTTATTGGTGAAGAGAGCAGAAGAAAGAGTCAATCCTGTTCATCCAGGATTTTGCACCCAAGAAGATGGGAGGTAAGTGGCCAATCATTGATCTTTCTTGTCTCAACAATTCTTAGAGTTATCCAGGTTCACAATGGAGTCCTTTCTCAACCATTTTTCACCAGGTCTATGAATGACCATGTTCAATGTTGCTGATGCATATCTCCACATTCCCTTAGCAAAGTCATCACACTGCTATCTATGTTTCATGCACAAGAGTCAGGTTCTGCAGTACAGGGCTCTGCTTTTTGGCTTAATATTTACATCATATGTCTTCTGCTGAGTCGTTTGACCTTTTTCTCATCAACTTTATGCTTTAAGCCTGTTTACACACCATCATATGGATGACTGGTTACTTCTGGCACCATTTCGTCAATTGGCAGAACAACACACCCAGATTATCCTTTTAGAAGCCACCAAGGCTGGATTTCTTATCAGAGCCATAAAAATCTGTTCACTTGCTGACTCAATATATTGTCCATCTTGGTGTGTTTTTCAACACGTTTTTAAGCCAGGCTATGGAATGGGCAGCCAGGCTCTTACTCACGTCTCCTTCTCCTACTGCACAGATTGTTCTCTTTCTTTTGGGGATGTGGGCATCCCTCAAATCTCTGATTCCTTTGGGAAGAGCACACATGCAGTTCCTTCAGTGGTTGCTGCATGACCAATGGATTATGAACTGTGATCCATTGGATCATCCAGTCTCCTTAATCAGGAGCAACATCTTAGATCTTATTGATAGAAATAACATGCAAAGAATACCAAGGTAACCTGCGTAGAGATGAATTCCAGACATCTGCCGTAACATATCATCAATATAAAACAGGTCACAAAATAATGTGGAATGAAATTCTCCTACTACACCAACCCATAACCAAAAAAGAAAGAGACTATTTAGAAACTAGCTAATAATCTCTCACTAAACTGTGATAGTAGTCCCAGCAACATAAGCCATATTTGGCAAGCTCTATTCACTGCTCACAAAATTGACCAGACTTAACCTTTAACTAAATCTGGTCACCTGCTGACATGATTTCCATCTTACTTAATCCTTTTGTCTTCACAATGTTATATAAACTGTGTACAGCTTAGTATTAATCATACCTAAAGAAGACGGACCAATGTTCTGTCAAAACATGTATTATGTTGCACCATGAAGAAAAAACTTTTCCTTAAGCTTATAAATCGTTATGTGCCTACCTATTGATATATCAGCATAATGTGCTTCCTTCCTCAAGAATCATCTCGGAGTATTTTTTAACTCCCTCCTCCATCTGGCTCTACATGCTTCACTTCAGTTGTTAGTCATGGAATGTCTCATTTGCAGCATCTCATTCTTTCCTCCTCCTATTGTGTGTCAGGTGCTTTTTATTTTGGGGACATAGGCTTCTCTCGAAGCCCTCATTCCTCTTGCTCCTACTCTTATGCATAATCGCCAGTGGGGTTTGATAGACCAGTGGAGCCTTGTTCAGGATCCCTTAGATGTCCCTCTTACCATTCCCCCTCCCTTACAGACTGACTTAGACTGGTGGTTGCATCGGAACAATATTACCATGGGAATTCCTTGTCCGGAATGTCACCTTTTATGGATGTGTTGTTTCCTCAGTTGGGAGTGTATCTCAACATTCGGGAGGTTTGGAGGGATGTTTTCTTTCTGAATCCTCTCTCCATATCAATCTTGGAACTTCTTGCTTTTCATTGGGCTTTCTTCACTTCCTGCAGGCTCCTAGGGGCCACTTGGTGATGTTTCACTCTGACGTTTCTATGGTAGTCTCGTACATCACCTGGCAAGGGACATTTGATTGACAGCCCTCTGTTTTCTAACATTGGATCTTCAGTGTTGAGCCCACTGCTGTCCTATCACTTTTTTGGCATGTCATAATCTGGGTGTCTTGAATATGGTTGCAGATTGGTTATTCTGTCCTGACAAGATTCTCTCTGCAGTGTGGTCTTTGGGTCCACTTTTTTTTTTTAGTTTTCTGTGCTCTGTGGGGTGTCCCAGATCTGGATGCTTTTGTCACTCTTCTCCATACACCACTTCCCTGATTTGGTCTCCTGTTCCTTATCCTCTGGTGAGAGCAGTCAATGTGCTCAGTTGGGGTTGGTCAGGTTGGTTCCTATATGCAAGCCTCCTATTTGTCTTCTCCCATGTGTCCTTGCCATACTTCAGACCACTCTGTGTAGTATTCTGCTGCTGGTTACATATTGGCCGGTTCACACATGATTTTTACTGCTGTGCCATGTGCCAGTTTTTTAGTTTTGCCTCCCTTTCTCTTCCTTTATCTCTGATACTCCAGCATCTATCATCCTGCACTCCGTCTTCATGCGTGTCTTTGTCTGGTTCCTCGCCTGAAAGGGTGGATTTTTGCATGTAGCTTCCTTCACTTTTTGTCCTATTAATTTTTCATCCATGGCAGCTTACCTGTGTATGTGGTACATGGACTGCTTTTGGTCTGTCCTAACTTTATTATAGTCCATCTCATCCTACGGTTCCTCACATACCATCCTTTTTGCCCTGGATTTTTGAACAGGGCCTTTCAGTTTCCTCTGTTGTGGGCTATAGGGCAGTGTTATCTGCTCCTTTTTGGTTTACTAACTTTGTTTGTATTTTCCAGTTGCCAGTCTTATCTATTTTATTTCATTCCTTCTGTTTTCCATCCTCTCTGCCCTGCTTCCCTTCCTGATTAACACCTCTATGTGATCCTCCATACTTTTCCCCATCCTTCATTAGACCTTTTATCTTCATGTTCTTTAAATAACCTTTCCTTGAAGTCCCTGTTCATGCTCTTGTTTGCAATTGATGTTTGCCACATTTTTGTTTTCTTAGTTTCTATGTTCTCTTTTCTGATCGTTCTTTTATACCAAAGACTTCAGCTGCTCAAAAGGATACTTCTCCCTTCACTCTTTTCCCTTCCCACTTTTTTAATCTGCTCCTGCTCACCTCCTTTGCCCAGTTGGGGCTCTTTGATGCTATATGACACGTACTGCTCCCTTCCATTATTCTCGAGTCTATTTGTTTCTTCCATAGAATTCTCACCTCTCCCATGACCTTTATCCCATTACTTTTCCAGGTTGCATTCTCCAGTTAATTTACCTGGTGTTTTTTTTCCCTTTCTCCTGATGATTGCTGTTCTTTTTCATGTTTTCTTCCCATCAAATCTATCACATTATCATGTCCCTGGTGGGAGTGGGTTCGTGGTACAGAACCTTCTCTTTCCTCCTCGTACCTGTATTTGAGGTGAAAGGTAGAGGACTCTCTTCCTACCACAGACCTAATGTACAATTCCAGGTACCACCTGGTATTGGTTGAGATCAGACCCCCATTTGTGGTCTGTTACACCCTAGCCACTTTACACAAGGGGTCCCTCCATATTTCTGCCCTTTTTGGCAACACAGTAGTAAAGGGTGAAGAGTATATCTGGCTCAGAAGTGGTGTGCTGATTTTAATCCCTTCTCAAACCCCATGGTTTTCCTTTGGGTACTTCCTAAAGGGGGTCATCTTCTCACCGGCCCTCCACTGGTTCAGTGTAAGACTCTAGCTTTTTGTGAGCGGATATAGGATGTCATACCCGAAGTTAAAGTTTTTCTAAACTGAAGATGTTTCCAATAAATACTTACCTCCACTCATATTTTCCACCTGTTCTCCACTTCAGATGTGGTTTAGTGTGATCTAACCAATATCGAAGTGGTTAACAGCTGCAAGATTAGAGGGGATGCTATTTATAATAGAGGTGGTGTTGCACTCCTATTGGTGGAGGGTTACTGCATAATCATTTTTATGTTAGTATACGGAGATAAGTAGGGGTATCAAGGCTAATAGCGAGTGAAAATATGTAGAGGGCAGTATAAGCCAAAAAAGTTGTTTGTGAAAGGAGGTAAATATCTATCGGAAATACATTTTTAATGTTTAAATGTTAACATTTATTGAGTGAGTTGCATCCTATGCATGTCTTACCCTAGTTATAGTATTAAGAATTTTAGGACAGTGTACGTTTGTTAGGTTTATTCTACTAAGTAACTTTTTGTTTTTCTTCATGACATATATTTTTTTTTTGCAGAGCAAAAACAAAAGAAGAAGAAGAAAACAGAAAAAAATGATGATGAGCCAAATGGGCTCAATAAACATTCAACAAACAAACTGGTATGTAGTAAAGTGTAAATTATAATAAAAGTTTGAGTTTTATTAGGATATTGTTTGAAAATAAACATTTTGTTATATTATGATCTGTCCTTGAAAACATGTAAGACTATAAATTCTACAAATACTTGAGTTGCTACAAGATCCTCCTTAGGCATACATTTGTGAAATGTTACATCACTAAGAGCTATTACCTCATGTGCAACTACAGTGGAATTTCTTTCACATGCCAAAAGCCTTGAAGAAAATCCCACACACCTCTACATATGTTTACGTGTATTGTGCCGGCCGTGATGTAATCATCATAATGCTGTAGCCTTCTATAGGAGGGTGACACAACCTCCAAGCAGAGTCATCCCTGTGAACATTAATAGAGGATCATAAGTACAAAATCTGTAGTTTCGTAGGAATTGGGAACTCGAATTACCAATATTGACAAGCTAGAATATTAAATAAGAACCTCATATCTTTTCTATTTGCTGAGATATTGCTCATGTACTGCAACACACACACAGTAGTCCCACCCACCTTTTTCCATTTTTGGAAACACTTCCAAAAGTACACATACTTTTTCTGTCTATGACATGTTAATAACCAGTCAAAAGCTCAGAATGTCCCCTTAGTGGCTTTCTCAGACATTTTAAAGTGTTATGACATCAACTCTTTCTTTAGATACAAAATTTCAAGCTGGTAAGTTGAGTTTGTAGTCAACTCAAAATTTCATGTTTTTTAAGAACTAAATGTCATCTTAGTTGCTAAGTTTGATAAATTATAGGGGAATTCTATGGTATTGATGTAGTATTTTATGATTTTTTGGTTATTTCAACTGTATATATAAAACCTACAAAAAATTATATCATT